TCACTTGGTAGCCCAGGCTGGCCTCGAACTCACAGAGATCCGCCTGGCTCTGCCTCCCGAGTGCTGGGATTAAAGGCGTGCGCCACCACCGCCCGGCGAACTTCAGTATTTTTTTAATCTCTTCAAAAACATTTATTTAAAGAGCAAATATAACTCAGGCTTTTAAGTTTCTCATGGCCAGGTCTGTTTTGTGTGTATCCAAATCTTCAACAACAGCTACTTACTAGGTGGCATCTGCCAGCTAACACTGTGGCAGACACTCCGCTCTGAGCATCTTGGGTGAGGTTAATAGATGCTGCCTTGTGTAGTTGCTCTGAGGATCAGAAGAGGGCTTGTTTCTCTTAGTGCATGCATGTGCTGAGTTAATGCAGGTGGTTTTATTAACAATTTTAAAAAACTGTAAGCATAGCAATAAAGAGTTGAAATTCAGTTTCAGAAAACAGTCCACACATGGCATTGGTGAAATCTACAGGAATGGTCTATTGACTTACAGTTATGTCTGCCTCACTGCCTTCTTTTTGTCTCGTGGGGAGAATTTGGTGTATAGGAAGGAGCCTTGTGTAAAGCATTGATGACTATCAGCTATGAAATGTAACAAATCGGAGAGTGGGAGATGAGTCCATCACAGGACAATGAAGGAAGTGTATTGGTTCACTGTGTGCACATGATTACATGCACTTTGTACGTTCACTAGCAATTTACCCTCGTTTGTCATACACTTTTGGGCCATGTAGCAGATGGCCTTGGACCTCATGAATGCAGTTATGAAGTCTCTGATACCAGTGGTGAAGGTTTTGGTCATGACTGTAACATGCTTTTTCTACATGCACACAATTAAAAAGCTTTTCATTTACCTCTTGGATTCTTGTGTCCATATGTCATTCATAGATTTCTATGTTGAGATCAACAGATATTTGTGTGCCTTTATTTGAAAACTCATTTTAGGATATTAGGAAATTATAAAATGAGTCATACTAGCAATATGGCTTTGGCCAGTTGGCTTAATCTCTATTTTCTTTCTTGCAAAAGCAGCAAATATGATCAGCTTTGATGTTGTCCTTGTGTTATTGGAAGAATCATAATAGTTTAGGGAAGACTGATCAGCTCTGGAGTTCTATGCACATCTAAGACAGGGTTTGTTCACAGCTTCCTTGTCATTATTTAGTACAAGTGAAGAGATTGCACTGATACGTTTTTATGTTTCTCCAGGGAGAGTCACACCAGGGCAGCTCATGTCCTATATTCAACTCTTCAAGAACAACCTCAAAGCTCTTACAAATCACTGTGGGCTCCTACAGCTTGGGATGGCCACAGTTCAAACTCTGAAACACCCACAGACTGCCAAGTGGGATAACTTTCTGGCATTCGAAAGGCTCCTTCTACAGGTATGTTGCTATTGTGAACTTATTAATATGTTACTGATTGAAGTTTTGACTTCCAGAAAAACACTTGGATATCTATTATTATCTGCGTAAAATCATATTGTTGACATATGCAATTATGGTTCGAATGAGAATGTTCCACAGAGGGTCAGATGTTGGACTACTTGGTCTCTGGTTGGTGGTGCTGTTTGGATAGGTTAAGAGATGTGGCCTTGATAGAAGAAGTGCACCGCTGTGGACAGGCCTTGAGGACTCAGGGTCTCCCACAATTCCCAGTTTGCTTTCTTTGCTTCATGCTTGTGGTTTAAGACGTGAGCCTCCACCTCGCTGCTTCAGCCACCAAGGCCACCTGCTGCCATACTTGCCCCGTTGCAGTGGTGATGGCCTCTTATCCCTCTGGAACCGAAAGCCCAAATAAAGCCTACCTTCTGTGAGCTGCCTTGGTCGTGGAGTTTTATCATGCAATAGGAAAATAACTGATATGTGTGCCCTGCACCCAATCCTCTACATGCCATCCAGTTAACATTCAACCAGAAACCTCCACATAATTATAAAAATTAACATTTTTGCCTTGACTTCTTGATTATAAGGAAAATTTTGACCATTTTGCTAACTTCTGGACACATTTCACTTTTATAGCCTTTGGATCTTTCTAGATCTTGATAGGCTTTATTTAATTCTTGCTACTTTTCCTGTAAGAATATCTAGCTATTTAGATTTCTTTTTTTTCTTTTTATTCTTTTTTATTTTATAATTTAATTTAATTCTACATATCAGGCAAGGATTCCCTTGTTTCCTCCCTCCCCTCCAGCCCCCCCCCCCCCAATTTCCATCTCCTCCAGGGCAAAGATATTTAGATTTCTTTTGGCACTACCTAGTCTGTAGTCTTTAAACAAGGTAGATCACATGCTTTAACAGAATGCTTGTCAACAGATGGAGGGGAGAAATCCTGTTTATAGTCTTTAGTAAGAGATCTGTTTGTAGGGGAAGAACTTTCCATAATTTACGAACTGTCTTCATAGGAAACGTCTAAAAATGTGCAATTTTATATTATAGGGTATAAATTATAGAGAATTTACACATATGTATTTTTAAAATATAATATTACAAAAGATAAACTTACATAATACAGCTAACATCTATGAACTTCCTTACAGGTATAATAATTTACCATTTTTTTTCATAATTACCCTTCAACCCTTTAGAAATAAAAGTAGAGATAAGTAAAGCATCTTTGATATAGATTTTTCCCTAATCTGGTTCTTTTTTTCCCTCTATAGGTAGTCCTAGCTCTGTTTCTAACTTTTTAAAAAAATAATTTTTTATGTTTATTTTATGTACATTGGTATTTTGCCTGCATGTATGTCTGTATAAGGGTGTCAGATCCCCTGCAATAGGAGGTACAGACAGTTGTAAGCTACCATGTGTGTGCTGGGCATTGAACATGGGTCAAGAATAGCCAGTGTTCTTAACCACTGAGCCATCTATCCAGACCCCTGTTTCTTGCTTTTTTTATTTTTTCTAAATATTTATTTTTCTATATCACTAGTAGAGTACAGTTACTATGGGCTTTAATTTTTGCATAAGTTACATTATATTATAAATATCCTTAAACAATTGATTTTGCCTCTAAATTTCCTATACCATACCATGAGTAAACATTTGATATATGTAACCGTAGTGGTGTTCAGTAGGTCTGCTCTAACTTAAGAGTGTGTGTCAAAGCAGGTGGCTGAGTATCCTGGAGCATGTCTTCAGAAACCCTTGGAGAAGAATTCCTCCAGGGCATTCATTTGGAGAGGATCTTATGCCACCAACCAGCTCCCAAATCATGACACAGAGACTTAATATTAGTTATAAATGCTTGGCCTTGCTTAGGCTCGTTTCTGACTAGCTCTTTTAACTTAAATTAACCTATTTCTCTTTATTGACCTTTTGCCCTGAGGCTTTTTACCTTTATTTCTGTATGTCCTGCTCTGTGTCTGCTGCCTGGTTGGCTGGCCCGCGCTTCTCCCTTTCTTTCTCCCTCATTCTTTTCTCCTCCTTCTCCTTCTCCTCTATCAAGCCTAGATTTCTCCTCCTATTTATTCTCTCTGCCTGACAGCCCCACCTATCCTTTCTCTGCCCAGCTATTGACGGTTCAGGTGCCTTAAGCAGGCAAGGAGAAACAGATGCAACACATCTTTATACAGTTAGGCACACACCTTACATCGTTAAACATAGGCAATATAAACAAATGTAACACATTTTTGTCTAGTTAAAATAATATTCCACAGCATATAACACATATATGTGTGTATGTATATATCATATATACATACACACATGTATACACACACATATATATGTGTGTGTTTAACTTTACTAATACAGATTATATCTTTAACATCATTTTCCTCCCTTATGTTGGGGAAACATTTTTTTCTCACATGGTTGAAATTCTTATTCATCTTGGACTTTTCCTTAAAAGATATTTAGATGTTTTCATGGATAGTTTAAAAGAAAATGATTTTTCCAGTTTTTGTTTACTGGAATTGTTCAGCTTTTAAATACTGATCATGTATCTGTGACTTAGTTGCCTTGTCTTGCTTTTCTTTAGTATTCTCTCGGGTTTCCAAGTATAAGCAACAATGTATGTGTGTGGATAGAACAGTTGCTTTTCTCTTCTGGTCTTGGTCCACTTAGATGGTGCGTTGAACAGGATGCGGCCACTGCTCAGTCAGGGAAGGAGGACAGGCTTCTTTATCTCGTCCCCAGCTCTGAACACCTCTGCCGCGGTTCTGCCCTTCGATGTTGTCCTATTAACTCAGTTTGACTTAATGAAGATTTGGAACTTTTTAGACAACTGTTTGTTTTCTTCCTTTAGCCTGTTAATGTGAGGAATTGAATTATAGTATTCCAAATGTTAAATAGTCATCCTTGTATTCCTGGGCAACTTGGTCTCTCTGTCTCTGTTTCTGCCCCTCCCCGTGTGTGTGTGAGCGTGCATGCATGTGCACCGTTTTGCTTAATACTTTCCTTAGATGTTTTCATGTATGCTCATAGTGCTGCCATTGTAGGGTTCTAGCAAGAGGTTTTAGTCATTTAGTAAGATCAATGTAAGTTTGATTTGTTTTTCCTGTGGAATTACTTGGTTTACAAAAAGGAATTTATTAGTTGCTTGAAAGTAAAACAGGTCTGGAGAATTATCTGGATTTCTTGCTTTATTGTGTTAATATTTACAACAATAGTATGAACAATCACTAGTTATTGGGTGATTTAAAACTATAATTTCTTTACTCCCTTTTGTATTTGACTGATCTTCCGATACAAGTGTTTAAATGTCTCATGACTGTATTCACCAGTTACCTTTTATATATTTTGACTTGGAACCCAGGACTCTCTGTCCACGATTGTGCCTTCTGTCTCCATTCCTCTATTGTCCTAGTGTATGTGGTCATATACACATATATACAGGTATATAAATCACACTTCTGTCTGTGATGCTGCCAGCCCCCAGGGGTGCCCTCTCTCCACCTAGTTCCCTTCCTAGTCAAGGCTGTCACCAAGTCCACCCAGATGTCCCCATCACTCTGGTCTAGAAACCACTGTTGACACCTTCTCACTAAGTGCTTGCCTTTCTTTGCTGGAACACAGACATCCGTCACTGTTGTGGCCCATAGTACCCTCCTCCTCCTCCAACTAGTGCCCATCCCAAGCTCCACTGCTGTTCCAAGATGCAGCTTCTGCTACTCCATGCCAGGCTCTGCCATTGCCACTTCCCTGTTGAGCTGTCCTCACCTACTCAGGCTCTGACACTCTGTTCATGGATGTTGTGACTGCCAACCTCTGGCCAGATCCCTTTGATCCTGGTCACCCCAGAATGGCTGCAGCTGCTTTCCTTTCTTCCTCAGAACCTCTCTCTACTCCAAGATGTCCTCCTCACCACCATGTTTATGCGCATCAACACTGTCCTCACCTTGCTCTGAGTCCAATAGCCAGCACTGGGATGCTCCTGTTTCTGTCCCCCACATGGAAGTCTCTGCATCCCCCAACCCATGCTAGGCCTAACCCCTGTGCTCACATGACCTCCTTAACGTGCTGTGGCTCTAACAGCCTGCGCTGGGCTAGTGTCGCCTCTCCTGACCTCATAACTATCTCTAAGCCATTGGAGAAACCTCTCTGTGCTCCCTGATGTACCTTGGGGCAGACTCTGCTCCTCCATACCACTCATGTCTGCTAAAACTAGCCTCAGGCTTCAAAATGAATCAAAGCATCTCAAAACAAGATTCGATAGAGATTTTCTCTCAGATAGTAATAATCTGTCAACTTACTGCAGTTTCCTGAGGAAACCTGAAAATATCAGTTCTGTGTTGTCTCATTCGTAATGAACTATTTGAGTTCTTCATTGAGTGCTAGACTGTTAGATGTGGTGGGGGCATCAGTGTACTCATTCAACAATTGGAAAATGAACAAAAAGACAGGAGAATAAAACATCGAACTTATCAAAGCTCTACTATGATTCTAGTTGCATATCGCTCTGGCTGGTAATATGTGCTCAGGGTTTTAGCCTAGGCAGAGCCATTAACTAGCCATTGTAATGGCTTTTTGTTTATGAATATTCTTATTTGATATAGCATACACTTATCCATTAGTGTAACAAGTCGTAAGATATGCTCAGTGTCCTTTTACAGACTTTGGTTAGAAAGTGGAGCATTTGAGTTTATTTTGAGCACAAGGGCCACAAGGGCCACATTTAGCTTTTCCCAAAGGTTTGAGAACTCTCACAGAGCTGAGTTGCTGACTTTGGAGACTCGTTTCCACCACTGCCTACCAGGCCTCCATCACTGCAACCTCAGCGTTGACCCTATGGCCTAAGTCACAGAATAGACAGCCCTAGGGAAGAGAGACTCCCATCTTGGAAAAGTGGCACATGGCACTCACTCTTTCAGAGTTGCTGCGAAGACTTCAACTCAGGCTCTGAAATACAAATCTACGGACTCAGGCTTTTAATTAAGAAAGACAATTAATGCCGGGCGGTGGTGGCGCACGCCTTTAATCCCAGCACTCGGGAGGCAGAGCCAGATGGATCTCTGTGAGTTCAAGGCCAGCCTGGACTAC